CACACACACACACACACACACACACTCTCTCTCTCACACACAAACACACACTCACACATACACACACATACACACACAGACATATCAGTAATTATTACTAGCGTTATCATTATTGTTATTATTATTATTGTTACTATTATCATAATTATCATTATTATCATTCGAGCCACCATCTACTCACACTTTAATGGAATATTTTTAAACAACCCTGGAGAATGTGAAACGAAATGAAAATGAACAATTAGTTCTAATTAGACTTCAAAACATGAACTAGAGTGCCATACTTCCGAGTTGCTGTCAGCTGTTTTGGGCTCGACGTACAAACACAGTGCAACTAAAGATACCCATGCGCTGTTCATGTGTCTGAAATCGGTCGCCCAGGCATTACTTATCATCTTTTAGTCTGCTTAATATTTCTCTTTTTTCTTGTTTATTTTTAGCTTTTTATTTGCTACCAAAAAGGGGTTGTTTAGAAAACACACTAAAGGAGAAAAACAGATACGTCGATAGGTGTACCAAAGTAAATATTATAGCCTATATTTAAGGCGCACAGTATCTTAGCCTTGAATTGTTTCTTTCACTCATCCTCATTGGTTTAAAATCTGATATCTACTTTCCTCTCTTAGCCAAACTCTTCTAGTTCTACGTCGTGAAGAACACAATTTTGAAAAGATGTATGGTACATGTAAGGCCTACATAAGCGTCTTTCGTCACATTACCCAAGACATTTTTTAATGTAATTCAAAGAATCAGAAAAGTGGTCGAATGAGTAGAAATGAGTTACAAAAGTCCGTATTAAGTAACGCTGCAGATTCTGCCTTAACCCCTGGGCAAGGACGATCCGATTGACGTATCTTTAGACGTTGTTGTGACAAGAAAAATCACCATGCCCTCCTATCTCAGCACTGCCCGGGGGTTTTCCGCTCCACAGAGGCCAAACTTTGCCTAGAACGCCGAGTGGTGCGGCTTGAGCGCGCGTGTCACCAGAACACGACCCTGTCTCACTCGCAGCCGTGCGCGTAAGTACGCAGTTTCCCATGACATCATGAAGATTGATGGTCTTCCCATGTCGCGCGGAGAAAGCCCAGCGCAAGAGACAGGCTGTTTGTTTTCTTATGCGTTTGTAGGAAAGAAAGAAAGAAAGATGAAGAATGCGTCGGAGAGACAGAACATCGAAGTACACACACACACACACACACACACACACACACACACACACACACACACACACGCTCTCATTGGCGAACAAGGAGAGATTTTAGTAAGCAGAACGGACTTCACCAAACGAGAACGCTGTCCTCAATATGTCAAATTGAGAATTTTCCCCGAAGAAACTAGGCTTTATTTGATTACAAAAATATCAGATTCGTTTTTCTTTGTCCTTTTTTGGAAGTTACAGACAGCTTGGAAACTGGCCAGAAGACAAAGCTGATTAAGATCTTTGCTCAGTTCTGCACAATGATACCATTTCAGAGGCA